CCTCAGAGCATCTTAGTATATAAGACATGTTAACTTGAATCCATCACGAGGTACCTTTTGATAGATGAAGGTTGACATAGTTGATAATTAATTCCCCACATGACTAGTGAATTGATGTTCAATAATTGTAGTGGTAGTTATGCCACAATCTTAATGGTTTGAGGGTGGGACTCAAATATGCTAATTAATTAGTGCCGTCGCTATTATAAGTTACGAAGTAAGAGGCAAAAATGTATTTTCTTTAAATAAACTTGTTTTTTTCCGATAAATTTTAATTTTTGACCCTCAAAATATAGGGAGTAGCTGCAATCTGGGAAATTTGGTCAAGAGAGTAATCTAAAATGTGAACCCCTTAATGTTGATTTTACTTTTTGGGTATTTTTCAATATATCGAAATTTTTTCAAGTGAATCGAAAAGCTTTTGCACACTATCATAAAACTCGTTGAACCAAAGATAATTTCACGCAGTAATAATAATAATTTGAATAGTTACTTCTTAATTTTATTATTATTTTATTTAGTAATAGTCTACAAGTTTTGAAATGTAAGGAGTAAAAATTCCTACAACATTTTAAGGAATGTAATTCTAAATGGCGAGATACAAAATTTTAGCGAAATCGGTCGAATAGTTCCTGAGAAATCAGATTTAAAAAATAATACTTTATTGGAATTCAAATTCTGAGCAACTATTCGACCGATATTGCTCAAATTTTGAATTTTGCTATTTGAAGTTGCATTCTTTGGAATGATGTAAAAAAATTGCATACCTTACACTTCAAAAGTTATTAAATTAAAACTTAAAAAATAATAAATATTTAGTAAAAATATCTTCAGATAAACGAAAATTTTTTCAATTCGCTTAAAAAGTTCTCGAAATAGATTAGAATACGCAAAAAGTAATATTAACTTTAAGGGATCCAAACTTTCGACTGTTTCCCTAATCAAACTATTGAGACCATATTTTCCAGATTGCGGCTGCCCCCACCCCACCCCTGTATTCTGAGGGCCAGAAACCCAAATCAGTGGGGGGGGGGAGGTATGTTTAATCAGAGAAATTACGTTTATGTGCCTTATTTTATAACTTAAAATAACGCATGCACTAATTAATTTGCATTTTTGAGATCATCCCCTGGAATCATGATTTAGTCCTAGTACGTGAAGATTCGATCTTTAGTTCAAAAGTCAATGAAAATAATTCGCAATATTTTCGCAATATTCCACAAATGTTTTCTACGTTTTAACGAGTCTTTTTTCGTTCAATAACTCTGCCATTCCAAGTACATTATTGAATCATTGATCAAAAAGACATGAAAAACTTAGACTAAAGCAATTCGCACTATCTTTTAAAGCATTTCAAAATTACGTATCAAATACTAAACACTTATTTTACCTTTGCATATATTTTTTCATTTCAAATTTACTAAGATATATATTTAAGATATTTTACTTCACTAAATTTCGTCAATTTTAAAATTTTTCAATTTTGGCAAACATTTGTCCTGATGAATTGAAGAAAAATATCTATTTCTTAATTTGTAATGACTATGGTTATCATTGAGCATTAATTTAAAATTTAAATTAGCAAAAAACTTACTTAAGTATAAAAAAAATCTATCTAAATAGATATAGATTTCTCAAAAAAAAGAAAGGAGAAAACATTTATAATTAGAAGCTAGTGGTTTATAACTATGTATTCTTCAAGTTCATATATTTGTTACTAGATGGCAGCACTAATAGTAAAATCGATATTCAGACTGACATACTTTTTCAAACCCAAAGTTGCGGCTTCGGCTAATATCAAAAATCCAAAATTATTAAATAAAATAAAATCAAAATGCCTTCAAAATAATGAATATTAAAAATAAGATAAGAACATAATTGGTGCCTGGCTTCGCTCGATATGCGAAATTACTGAATAGAATATAGAAACAAAAATACATAAAAATAACTTTGCTCAGAATAAACTATTTAAAAAAAAGCGTTTTTAAACAAAATTTGTAGGTAAATTTTGGTCAGTAGGCAAAATTTTAGATAAATAAAAAAGCCTAAAACTTTAAAAAAAAAGGAGGATAAAACAACTATCTTAAATAGTTTTTCTTTCGCAAGATGGCAGCACTAAATGTTTTATTTTGAATAGCAAAAAAAAAAGTACAGAAAATACATTTTTCAGTATTTAAATAAGATGACATTTAAGCGAAACAGAAAGTAGTAAAACAATAGAGAAGTGGAATTTTTCCAGAACTCTATCTCTATTACTGTGTTGATAAATAAGTTGCAATTGATAGCAGCACTAAGAGGAGGTCTGAAACTTTTAAATAGAGGAGGATAGAACAACTGCCCGGAATTATTTTTTCTTTCATAAGTTGGCAACACTAAAAATTTATTTTAAATATCTCAGAAAAAAAGTTAAGAAAGGAAAAGACATTTTTTGGTATTCAGCGATATAAAAGAATCAGAAAGTGGCAGAATTATACAGAAGTAAGACATTTTTCATTAAAAAATCACTATTACTCAGTTGACAAATGAGTTGCAATCTGAGTTGCAACCTTATATATTTCTCATTAATTTGTTTACCATTTTGTGGTACGATTTTAAATTATATCCTGGTACATGAACATTTTGTTTTGTTATTATTTGCGTAATTATGCAGTTTAAAAATCAAGGATAGATCATTCCAATAATAATAATAGTAATAATTATAAAATATTAAATGTAGCACGTTTTAATTTTAAAATTATTTGATTCGAAAGCATTTAAAAATTGATGTTATTATTTCCAATATCAAAAATTACGTTTTTCCAGGAAAATTGCGCCTTTTTTATTTATCTATTTATTTATTTATTATTTTTTTTTTTTTCAAAATGCGGTTAAGTACGGTAGACATGCTTGCGTCAAAATATGCAAAAGATTTCTAAAATATACTAATCTGAAATTTTTTCCTGATCAGGTGAAAAAAAATTCTCTACTTGAAAAAGAGCGATACAAGCAAAAGCAAAACATGAAATTACTTTTCGAAGGTTCTTTTGTCAAATTAAATACCGCTTTTTAGCATATATTAATATAAATATTTTTTTAACTATTGTGAGTTTCTAACAGTTATTCGCGACTGTTAGCTTAAAGCTGAACTTGATCGTTAACGTTGGTGTATAGGCTGAAACATTACCACCGGGGAACTATATCAATCTGATTGTACATTTCAACTTGAAATTTCTATTTTTCTTTAGTAGGGGATGTTAGTTCCTTTGTAGGTAGGTAGGTATTTTATTTACGTCGCACTAGAGCTGCACAATGGGCTATGGGCGACTGTCTGGGAAATATCCCCGAGGATGACATGCCATCACAAATTTGATCCTCTGCACTTGGGATGGCTCCTTCAATTTCTTTATAAGTATTAACATTTATGCGGTATCATTACATTGAATATTTACATGCTTTTTTTTAAAAAATATATATACTTTAAATGGCAGTTCGTATCTGTTCAGATAAATCATTAAAATGGCGTACTGTTGAGTTCCTTTTTTTACATCTTATTACTCTCGAACAGGAAAAGAAAGTGGAAACGTGACTGCCTGTTATGTAACAGTTAAGTTAATGATCTAGTTCAGCCTTGGTTAGGTTAAGTCTTCTCCATGCTAATTATAAAAATGGCAATGGAGAACAGCTACAGCTTTATGAAAATGATGGAACGCTTGTGATCTAATTTTCTTAATATTTGAAAAGTTCTTCCTACGCTGCGCTATCTGGATTCATAAAAATTTGTTACAGTTAAGAACTATTCCTTACTTTGAGAAGTTTCGTTTCAGTATAAAAATCTTCCAAAATGGAAGATTTTTAAAAATGTTGAATGAATTTTTTAAAAAAGTATTTAGGCTATTTGTCCTTCCTGAAGCACGGATAATTCATTACTATAAAATTGGTGGTTTGCACTTTAACTTTCTGTATTTTCGTTGGCGTAAAAGTTTCGAATATTGCCCAAGAGGCTGCTGTACGCATTTTGCCTTACACACTACCTTATTGAGACTTTTAATGAAACGTCACAAGGGAGTCGTGGGGGGTTAGGGGACAGAGGGTTCGCTTTCCAAAGAGTCGAAAAGTGTTCGAATCCCAGTGACGGCTGGTCGACACGAATTGTGCGCCAGGCTCGCATCTACCACAGTGCTGACATAAAATATCCCCAGTTGTAGACGGATCATGGATCCTTTGCTGTCAGGCTAACCGTGGGAGGTTTTTATGGTTTTCCTCTCCATGTAACGCAAATGTTCCATCAAAAAGTCCTCCGCGATGGCAAAACTTCTCCCAGTACTTGATCAAGGAGTTCGCTTGTCTTCTAGATTGGGTTCAAAATTACAAGACTATGGAGTTGAATATAACTTTCACAAAAATCTAATATCATACAATCAAGTGATGATTTTTTAAAAATTAATTCCAATATTGTTAGCTGTTTAGAATGACTTTATTTTCGCTTTAAAAATTACACATACAATATTTAAGAATGTATCTTGAGTTTCAAAATGTCATTTTCAACAATTACTTGCTTTACAACTGCAAGCACATTTTTCTCTGCCTAATTTTTTTTTTTTATACTTCGAAACTGTTAAAAAGCATTTCTAGAGTACGCATACAAGGAATAACTTCCAAAATATTTTATAAAAATAATTTTTTATCAATCGATGATTTGTATATCATTCGAAAGTATGTCATTTACATGGCCACTTATTACTTCCATTTCTCTTTTACCTACTTAAATGATTTATGACATTATTAATTTATGTTTAAATGCGTGATTTTTTAAGCCATTTCAATAAAATATATTTTCCAGTAGGAACAGAGAGAAAATTTCAGAAAAAAATATACTCCCAGAGATTTTAAAAAGCAAGTAAGTTTTTATGTTATTATTTTCCTGTCTTTTCTAAATCATCAATAACGTAAACAATATTATTCAGCTTGAGCTCTGTAAAAAAAAATCTTGATGTTAATAACACGAAGTAAAAGTGTCAGGCGTAGAAGTGGAAGAACGTTTAAGTAAAATGCTATAAAATTATAAAATGTCATTATCCAAGCTGTCATTTTTTTGACACTTGAATGTCAGAAAATAATTGTAAACTGCATAATGTCTGTAAACTACACTTCACAATTAAGGTATTATTAATTTGATTTACTAACTTAATATTTAAAAAAAAACTCTTATCAGTTATCAGAATTACTCTTATTAGTTATTGTGCATTGGCAAATCACTATTGCAAATTATCTATGCAAAATATTAAGAGTATAACATTACTTAATAATGTCAATTAATCATGATTATTTACTTTTCTGCTTAATTAATTGCCGTTGGCTTATCAATTATTAAAACTGTTCTAAAGACGTAAAAATGTATCACTTAATATACCTTCTCATTTGGCATACCCTCAGCTTACTAAGGCAAAATATTAAGAGCATAAAATCTTCGAATTTCTTAACATTAAATGTTATAAGTGTTTCTTAGAATGCATGCTTGATTATCAAGAAGAAAAAATTTAAAAATAACTATCAGAAGAAAAAAATCGAAAGGAATAAAGTTGTTCAAATAAGAGGATATGATATGCTTCCTTACCACAAAAGATTTCATTGTTCTACTGTTGAAGTAATCCGAATAACTGTATCAACTATTATGATTTTCACCAAAATCATTCATTTTTCTGCTTATATACAAATTACCCGCTCTACATAAATTCGTCACAGATGAAATAAAAATCGTTTAATTTTTTTTAACCTCTTTTTTTAAGAACAAAAAAAGAAAGACTTTTTTTAATTCATTCTTAATGATTTTAAGGTAAACGTCATAACAATGTTGAGGAGGTCAATGATGTTGGGAGATGGAGACGACAAACAAGGAGGGAAGACAAGGAACGTACCTGGTGAACCGGAAGACGGAAATTAGTTGAAAAAACACTTTATTGTCAATTGACAATTATGACAAGAGACTAGTTTTCATTAATGAAATTAGGGGACCATACACAAATATTTATTTTGTAAAAGTACACAGTAGGGGTAAAAGAGGGATACAGCCCCAGGCATTTCGAGCACAAGACAGGCATTAGAACAACTAAGGAAGCTGAAGTTTTAAAGCTATCACTATTTTTATCATGAAATTAAATTTCTATTAAATAAATATTTAAGTCAAATTTTTTTGGAAAGAATAAAATCATGATTTTTAAACAAATTTAATAATGAGATTTTTAATCTTTATAATTCAAATTGTCTTGAATTTAAAAAAGAAAAAAGAAAGAAAGAAAAATGAACTTAAATAAAGGAAATACAAAAAAATTGTCTTCGAAAGGCTTTTTTGCCTCAGATCAATTTTATAATTTGTTTAAATATAATATTTGCCATAGATAGCTTGTCTAAAATAAGAACTCCCCTAGCCAATTGTCTGGACCCGTGGCGGTGACTATGGTGGGTTAGACTTATTTTAAAATAGTAATAGGTCTTAAATTAGTAATAGGTCTTATAATAGTAATAGGTTTTAAAATAGTATATAGCTGTTCAAATGATAGTAAGATTAAGATTGAGTATTGTTAAAAAAAGAGTTGGTTCAAAAAATGCTCAATTATTGATGGGCTCGAGTGTTGAACAAAAGAGAGTGCGATAGAGAAGTGTTCAAATGATAGTAGTAACGATTAATGTTCAAATTATAATAGGTTCGAGAGCTGATCAAATGATAGAGGGTTTTTGATTAAAATTTGGTTGTTCGATTATTGATTAAATGAAAGTGGGTTCGAGAACCGATTTAGAGATAGTGGGTTCAGTAATTGATTAAATGGTACTGGGTTCCAGTACTGATAAAAATAGTGTGTTCGATTATTGATCAACTGATAGTAGGCGTAGGTACAAAAAAAAAAAAAAGAAAAAAAGGAAAAAAAAAAAAAAGAAATTCTATAAACCATAGTGGGTTTGTGTACCAATCGAAAATAGTGGTTTCTGATCATTGATCTTTTTATAGTGGGTTTAAGTACCTATAAAAAGATAGTGAACTTGAGTAATGATCAATTCACTAATCGAGTAAATCCAAGTACTGATCAAATCATAGTGGTTTCGAGTAATGATAAAAATAATGTGTTCGATTCTTAATACAGTAATAGTAGTTCTTAATAAAATAATTAAAAAAAAAATTGTTTCTATTACACATAAAGGGTACGAATACCGGTAAAAATAGTTGGTATGATGTTTTTATGAAATTATTGTAGGTTCGAGTTTTGATAAAAAGAATGTATGTTCAAAAACTGTTTAAATGATAACAAATAAGTGGAAACTTTAAAGTTAACTTTTTAAAACTTCTTAGGAAATATTATATCTATTTTTATAAAAGAAACCAGTTTCAAATTGATCATTGCTTTCAAAAAATTTGTAGATTTGTCTGAAAGATTTTAAGTGATCTGATTCTATTCGTCATATAAATTCTGTAAAAAATTGTGAAAGAAGGGAGTTTGTGTTATTATAATCATAAGAAAGAGTTAAATGACAAAAATTAGATTAAAAAAAGGTTTTTATGTAGAGAGAGAGGGGGGGGGGGGAGAGAGAAAGACCTTTTAATGAGAGTTTTTCTTTACAATTACAGTAAAGATTTTAACTAAGCAACCTTATATTCAGATTCCACATAACAGCGATTATTAAAGTTTATTAAACTAAAGTTAGTCTGAAAGCTTAACATTTTGTCTAATTTTTTTTTTTGTACAAATATTTGGCTCAGATAAGCTCTTTAATTCAGCAATCAGCGATAAATTAGTCAGTACACACTTGCCTTGCTTTTTGCTACCTCTGAATTACAGATTTAAGTCCTTGTTAGGATTGATAATCAGGGATAAGTCACTAAAGGATTCTCAAAATTAAAAAAAAAGGTATCAAGATATGTAAAAAAAATAAACAAATTAATAAAAATGCAATAATAGATTTATCTAGCAAATAATCGTTATTTCTAAGAGATGAAAATTTTGGGTACATTTGGCGACTATGTAAACAATAGTAAATTATGCGATTTTTTTCGCATTTTCCGCTCCTTTGTAAAATTTATAGGGTCCTACTTATAAACGTGAAATATTTGTACCCAGAACAATTTACTTAGTTATTAGAGGGAACACCTAATCTATGGGTTTATGTCTTTCATCCATGGGTTGTTCTCCTTCCTCCATGGATATTATAAGCAAAAAAAAGGGTTGTAACATAAGTCCACTCACTCTAAATATATTTTAATGGTTATGTTAATGCCCTCTGTGCGTTTCACATTGAATGATTTGGAGTTTTATAATTTCTTTATGAATATTTCTAGTTATATTTTAGTATTTTCTTAAACTATGACACCAAGTCTTTTATATGAAACCTGTTTTAAATAAATTCCGTTACTGTTTCTGATCTGATATGATTCGATTATTAATTTGAAATGTTATTAAAAAAGAATATAAAATTGCCTTCAAGATGATAAAAATTTTTTTTAGACTCCATTATAGTGGAGAGTTTGAATAATTTGGGGATTTTGAAACTCATTTCCCCAACGATATAATTTTTAAAGTGTGTGTGAACCTTATAAATATTTTTAAATTTACTATAACAGATATATTGTTCATTTCAATTAATTTTAATTAAGCCGATATTTCTATATCCATATGCTCCCTCCGTAACATTTTTAATCGTTTAGAATTTTGGCAGATTGAGTTTCATAAAAATATTTATTACCTTGACTCGCTCCATTTAACCGAGGAAAACAAAAAAACGAAAAGAAAGTAAATTACGAAGGATCAGAAATGAATTGACTTTTCCGCCCTAACAATGGATTGATGAAAAAAATTTTCTTAAAAAAGTTGTTTTACTGTTTGTGATTGACATCTAATCAAAAACGCAACGTTTATTCAACAATGTTCATAAATTAAAAAAAAAAAAAAAGTTTAAATGTAAAGAAAAGTAAGCTTAAACCTTGCGTAAAATAAATCGCAAAAAATATTTCTCAGGGGCAAGCCTAGGTCAAACTGAGAAAAAAAAAGTTAACATTATTATATATCTATTTTAAATTTTTCAATTGTCTACATCAAAGTTTTTTTTTTTTTTTTTTTTTTTAAATTTTGTAGAGATANTTTTTTTTTTTTTTTTTTTTTCAAAATTTTTATTAAAGCAGTTAATAAAGCAGTTAATAATCTAAAAAGTTTCTGGAATAAATTTGGGAACTAAATAATATTGATCATTTAAATTTTAAAAAATACAACTATTCTAATGACTTTAAAAATGAATTTGATTCATTTGGCTCAACAAATTAGTTAATAAGTGTGCGTTAATAATTTAAACGAGTGCGTTTAAATTATTTACTTGTCAGTTCAATTATAAGTTTCGCAGGTCATTTTATTTTCTTGAATTAATCAAATTCGTTTTAACTTTTTAAGACGACTTATAATTTTTTTTTATTTAAATCACTAGCAATTTTATTTAGTTACAGCTGGTACTGCCAGTTCCTACTCGTCGTACATCTTTTTAAATTATATTATATACTGTGACCACAATATTATCATATTTAACTATATAATGATATTGTGGACACAGAAATAACTTTTTTTCGTCGATAATAATTGAAGTAAAATGTGTCAATCAACTGCAAAAGCAATAACAATATTAAAATAATATTAAAAAATAAAAGCAAGGAAACTTAAGAATTATTTCATGACGAGGTTGAAATTCAGATTAACACCGAAAAAAAGAATTAAAACAAAAAGTAGAATTTGAAATACAAGACTGTTGCTTTGTTAAAAATTATTTGAAATATTAAAAATTTTTTTTTTATCAAGTTTAAATATGTTTAGAGCATATAAGCATTTAAATTTGAGCACTTTTTACTTGTTTATGAAAAATAAATAAAAAATAGCATAAGTAGACAAAAATTTTCGTGTTTTAAAATTTTCGTTTCTTGGGAGTTACTTCACTGAATCCATGACAAATTTGGATAATGTCACTTAAAATTACATAGTTTGAAATGATATAATTTTTTAATACTTAACAATTTGAAAAATTGTTCATTATTATTTAATTTAATAATGTGAGTCTACACTCTTACTTATTGCTTTATGACTAATGTTCTATGCTGCTCCTTTGTGAGATGTCATATAAATTTGTTTCATTTAAGAAAAATATTTTATTCAATCACCATAACTCTACATAAATTCCAGTCAGTTATAAATTTTTTTTGTAGTTGTCTATGTAAAATTCAATTATTATACTGGTTAAATGAAGCTTTTTTGTTATGTATTTTTATTAAGAAAAAAAAATTTAAACAAAATGCTATAAATCGCTTGGAAAATTCCTTTACTGTAATTACTACTAATTACTAAATATTAGTTATTTTACTTTGTGATTGTTAGGCAGGTGCCTTTTGCAAGAAACGGCTTATAGTAATTTGTGTGCAATGGCTTTCTTTTTTCCTTCTTCATATAACTCTTTCTAATACGATTTTTTAGTAAATTCTATATAAAACTGACTGCTTTTATGAAGACATTACGCATTACTACAACAATGAAATTAGAGGAAAAAAAAATTTAAAGCTAAAAAAGTTGCGCCCAACGTGGGGCTCGAACCCACGACCCCGAGATTAAGAGTCTCGTGCTCTACCGACTGAGCTAGCCGGGCGATACCAAGATGGAGAAAATTAAATAAATAAGCAAATCTTAAGACGCATAAGTAAAAGCAATCGTTATATTGACACATAGAAGAAGCAATCTTTTAATTTTTATCGAGTGTAGATTTCTATAAG